ACTTAGTAAACAATTAGGACTAAATCCTTATGAGATACGATTTTAGAGTTACTGTCTATATTACTTGTTCGATACGTATACTTGCGTGTACAAAATCGACAATAGTTACCTCTACACAAGCAAAATCACCTAGTTGGCTCTTCTCGCTAAGGGGTCTTGAAGCTTCAATAAAATCTATAACACATAAGTCATATAATCAATACATGTTAACAAATTCAACACATATTCATTTCTATTAGTATTCTTGAACTCATTTCTACCCACCATCTCGTGGCTAGTTACCATACTCATATTCTTATCTCTTGGTTCAACTTACTCACTCTTTCAAATTTACATTCTACACCACCCCTTAGCCCTTTCTAGTTCAAACTTACTTTGATTTAGCTCATGAATCATTCCATACCACCTCTCTACCATAATCATTTTCTTCACATCCTACCCATTTATCTTAGCTTTCAATCTAACTCATAAATTTCTTCAATCTTTAACGCACTTCACAAATTACTTATCTTTAGCTAGCATTTACCTTGGTGAGCTTTTCTTACAAAATCCACTTGGAAAAACATTGAATACCTAAAGAAAAATCCAAACTTTCTTAAAGAAAGAACTTAGATCCGAAACCTATTTGGTGAAAATGCTTAAAAGATGGAAAACCTTACCTTAATCACTGTAAAAATCCAAGTCAAAGCAACCTTGAACCAATTAAAAGAGTGGTTGGGAAAAGGGAGGAAGAAAGCTCTCAAGTGAAAGAGAAAAATGAAAATGGGCACGAAACCTGAGCCTGTTTATTTTTGAATCTCATAGTTCAAGTATCAATACTTTTGGGTAAATATCAATACTCTCCACATGACCTGTCTTTATTCAACACATTTAAAATGCAAGGTATCGATACTTTTCACACATAATGCTCCCCAAGGCATTCTACCTCGAACTTATCAACACTTTCCCTTCAAGTATCGATTCTTTCACACAAAATGCTTCCAAAGGCATTCTATCTTCTAAGTATTGGTATTTGTTGTTCAAGTATTGATAATTTTGGTCCATAGAACTATTTTTCACTCCAAAACTTAAACTTTTTGGCTCTAACTTCCTCCCCTGTCCCATTTAGCTTAAAACCTGTCAAAAACTTAGTTTTCCGAGCAAGTTTCACTATGATCTTTCAAACACAATGTTTTCGTCAAGCTCACCAAGTAAGTTTACCATTTTATCCTCACATGAAACCTAAAGGTCTCACAATAAGTTGTGGCATAAATTGACTGCCTTTAGAGTTTGTCTTCGACACATAAATTATATCTTGAGATATGTAAGAAAGACATACATGTTTACTGAATAAATTGTAAAGTGTTTCTCTTGCAAGTAAGAGCTACAAAAAGCAGATAATAAAATAACTGACAAACAAATACAACACATGAAAGGTATCATTAGGGAAGTGTTGTTATACATTGTTACACTACCACATTGACTTCATGTTGATAGGAGTTGGTTTTGTATTTACTATTTCCCCATATTACTAATTTTTACTAGACACGAGGACTATTGGAGCATGTCTCAAGAATAGTTCA